TCCTTCCTTCCTTCCTTCCTTCCTTCCTTCCTTCCTTTTTTTTTGAGACAGTGTGTTGCCCAGCCTGGAGCACAGTGGTACAAACGTAACTCACTGCAGCTTCAACCTTCCAGGCTCCAGTGATCCTCCCACCTCATCTCCCCAAGTAGCTGGGACTTCACAGGTATGCACTACCAGGCCTACTAATTTTTAAGTTTTTCTGTAGAGATGGGGTCTCCCTATGTTGCCAGGGCTGGTCTCAAACTCCTAACCTCAAGCAATTTGCCTGCCTCAGCCTCCTAAAGTGCTGGGATTACAGGTATGATCCATCATGCTTTCAGGTATCTTCATAGTAAGGTCTTACTGTCTAAAAGGAACATAACAAATATATGTGCCAATGAATTCAACCTGTCACAGAAATCCTCTTTTCTCTCTTTCTTTTTTTTTTTTTTTTTTGCCTTAGAGATGGGGTCTCACTTTGTTGCCCGGGCTAGACTTGAACACCTGGGCTCAAATCATACTCCTGCATCAGCCTACCGAGTAGCAGGGACTACAGAGAAATCCTCTTTCCTTACTACAAAACAAGAAGCATAGCCTTGACCCTTGATGCCTGACAACAGAATTATAATAGGGTTTGATCAGAAAGAAGTAAACCAGAAGAATGCATTGAAACATTTGCTTGGGACTTCTCTAACGCGTGCTCATCTGTCCTGAAGTGTCCCTGCTCGTGCGAGGCTCCTACCTGGTCGAGCAGTCCCATGAGGAGCACGGGCAGGCTGGAGTATAGCACGTTGTAGAGAGTGATGAACCAGTCCTCGTATGCAGTCTGTGAGGGGAGGACAGAGGCTCCACGTCACCAACAAAGACACATGCCAGCCTAGTTAGCACATACTCCTCTACTTCCTTTATTTAACATTTTGTTTGTTTGTTTTAATAGAGATGGGGTCTTGCTATGTTGCCTAGGCTGGCCTCGAACTCCCGGCCTTAAGCGATTTCCCCTTCTCAGCCTCCCAAAGTGTTGGGATTATAGGCAAAAGTCTATGCGCCTGGCCTGTTATCACTATTCTTTTTTTTTTTTTTTCTGAGACAGGTCTCATTCTGCCGCCCAGGCTGGAGTACAGTGGCACGATCTTGGCCCACTGTAACCTCTGCTTCCCAGGTTCAAGCAATTCTTCTGCCTCAGCCTCCCAAGTAGGTGGGATTACAAACACACGCCACCATGTCTGGCTAATTTTTATATATTTTGTTGAGACGGGGTTTCACCATGTTGGCCAGGTTGGTCTCCAACTCTTGACCTCAGGTGATCCGCCCACCTCGGCCTTCCAAAGTGCTGGGATTATAAGCATGAGGCACCGCACCCAGCCCCGTTATCACTACTATTAATGGCAAGGTAACATGAAAAAATAACCAAAGATAAAGATAAAAGCATACAAGCAAATCCCCTCCTTTTTTTTTTTTTTAAAAAAGACAAAGTCTTGCCCAGGCTGGAGTGCAATGGCACAATCTTGGCTCACCCGCAACCTCTGCCTCTCGGGCTCAAGTGATTCTCCTGTCTTAGCCTCCCGAGTAGCTGGGATTACAGGTGCCTGCCATCACACC